TGATATTTCATTAACAAAGAGGCCATAAATTATCTTAAGCAAAAGAAGACAAAAAAAGTATTCCAGTTTCCTAATGGGAAATTCAAATTGAAAGAAACATATTTTGCAGTCTAGAAGGACCGCAGGAAACAATACTAGGTTTTCAAACTACAATAGAAGTATTCAAGAAGCTGGTGTTAGTTTTTAAGGTTGTGGAACAGATGGACTACATGAAAAAGTCTCATGAGCACTAAAATGAAGAAAGAAAAAAGACACAGAAGGAAGCAGGATCTAGCTATTATTTAAGGTAAAAAAGTCAGATGGAGGTATATTGACAAAAACAGATTCACAGACAATGTAATCACAACTCTTTCTTCCATGAAAGAACAGGCTAATCAACCTACTTTCACAATGCCTACGCCCTAAAATAATACCAGGGCAGAAGGCCCTATTATTATTATAATAATAAAACTTTTGCCCATTCTGTTATCACGGTTACTTTACAACCTCATCCCCACTATAATGCGATGTTTCTCTTCTAAGTGAAACTAGATGCAATTAACTCTTCTAGTTTATTCATCTAGCTCATCCCATCTGTCATGGCTTTACTGTTCTTCATTACTTTATGATCAACCTATTCATCCTTCCTTTTAAGGTTCTGTATCGCCTCCTTTTAAAGTTTCTCTTGCCTGATCATTGCTGTCCCTATTGTTAATTGACCACCATTTTAGAAATATCTCTCTCCCTATCTCAGCTTGGCAAAACCTCCTTTCTCTCATGCTCCAAGTTATCATGTTTTCCTCATTATCAACTTTGAAGTTGTGACTAAAGCCCAGCTGGTCTATCAGTACAAGACAATCCAATGTCCTGGTGTCCAGATTGGTATAACAAAAACTAGCAGCACTCCACAGAGTAATCTTCTCTCATTTAGCAAATCTTACTAATCATAAAGCCACAGCAGAACCTAGTTCCCCAGGTCCCAACTCACATGTTAAATCAATCAATCAATCAATCACTCTCTGAGGAAAAAGGAGAGAAGTAGGTTCAGACCAAAGGAAGAGAAATTGTTGCTTGTTTTTTTCTTGGATTAGCAAGAATTTGATGTCCACAGAGCTTGTAGCGACTTTGACTCAGGAGATTGACAACCCAGTGACAGCCAGTCTCTGTAGTAAGCTTTCAGAAGTGTGAATTTTCATTACTCCAAAGGGGTCTGGAATTTCATGCTTCTCAGTCATTTCAAACTGAGCAGGCACTATGGATTATGTGGATAATGCCTCACTGAATCCATATCCCACTGAATCTCTGATCAAATTGGATCAAGTGAATTGAGATGAAGTGGATGCTTCAGCAGGTCTAGGTAGGGAGAAAAACTGGGAAATTGTGTGGCAGATATCTTGTATAGGCTAGTAGAAGCAAAATGTGCTTACTTAGTGATTACATTTAGTTATCTGCTTTAATAAGCAATTACCCTTCAAGAATAATACCTTCTCCTCCCCCCTAAATTCAGTTTTGGTTAATCGCTTTATCTTAGCCTACTAACTGCTCCTTCTATCATCAAAGGATACCGAAAAAGAGAGGGATCACCAGGACAGCAGCTAAGGCTCTCAAAGGCAGTTGGAAAAGTCTGGATTCAAGTCCAGACTTCCCTTCTGCTCTGAAGTCTGTTTTGTACATCCCATTATATGGATGTTTTGAAGGTACCTAAGGGTTAAAGTATTAAAAGACACACCAACACTACAATGGAAGACTGCATCTACTTTTGTCTGGAATGTGTAACATAGCATCAGGAATATGCTCTGTTACCTGTTATACTCATTTATCTCCCATACTGAATAAAAACTGTAGATGTTTCTGTTAATAGAATACTTGGGGGTGGGTGGAGTATCTTTGCATTTAGCAACTTTAAGAACTAAGAAATTCATCAAATTTGAATCCTAATAATTAAGATAGTCTTGAAATAATAAAAAATAAAAATAATAATAAATCCTACTTTCTCCAAAACCAAACTTACAATATTCTCAGATTTTGAGGGTATGGGCAACTTCCCAGCTAATTTAATTTACCTCGTGAAGAATCCGGGAACCATTTATGTGCGTTTTCTACATTATTTCTCTCTTCTATAAGAAAAATATAATTTCCAAATATATTCATGTTTACAATGCACGTAGGAATAAGAATCAATTTTAGTAATAAAAATTGAGCATATTATTATGGTCATGACTAGAGCCCATTCTGAAATGGCCCGTTAAGAAGAAGAAAATACGTAACAGTGATTATCATGAAACATGGCAGGCATTATCATCCTATACTTCAGTAAAGGAGATAAAAGAGTATGGGTGAGTGAAAGGGAAGCAAAAGAAAGTGAGATAAGATGGATACATGTCCTGCATTAAGGAATCATTGGTCAAATGGAAGAAACAGAGATGTATGCAGTGATAATTCATTTGTTTTCACTGCCTTAATTTTAATGGATTTGAAATAAAGTCTGAAATGGCATAAAGAGTCTTACAATATTTAGTTTCTAAATATTAGCTTAAACTAGCACATTCAGCTCCAGCATTAGGTTCATGTGTAAATATTTGTCTTACCCAATGGCTGGAGTTGACCTCTTGCTCAGCTACAGTAACTGTTTCCTTTCAAAAGGTTTTTTGTTTTTGTTTTTTCCCTCTCTCCTTCCCCAAAAAGGAAATAGTTTGAAGCTGAGCTACAACAAGATTTAAACTTGACTTCTTTAAGACTGACAGTTTCTCTTAGCTAAGAGTTGTTCCCATATGTACTTCAAAAGCAAGAGATGCTGTGCTCTTCCCGGCAGTGTGTCCTGCCTTTGAAGTCTTTGAAGTATCCATAGAAGATGCTCCTAACAAAGAAAAACTGGTAGTCTTTAAAGAGTAGACTTTACATTTGCATATAAAAAAATCCTCAAAAAAGGGGGAGAGTGCTTTTTAAAGCTCTTTTTTTTTTTTTTTTTTTTTTTTTTGGCTGACTCCTCAGAGAGCAATAGAATTCAGGAAAGAAGTAGCAGAGATTTTTACCTGTGGATTTTAGGAATTTAAGGAAATTTAAGGAAACTATTTCCAGAAGTAATACTTTATGCTTATCAAAAAAATCTAAATTAGTGAGTCTTTCTATTCTTTTTCATCTTTCAAAGTCCAGTCTCCCAAATCTGAAAGAATTCATGCTTATTTTCTCTTAAATATTTACAGATTCAAGTGGTAAAAAGATACTATCTGTAGATCAGACTATATGCAAGAAAATTTTAATCTCCATCTTCATTTGTACTTATGTCTTGACTTTCATACTGTTCTTTACAAGAAGATTAAATCTAGCAATGAGTGTTAAATACTTTTCAGAAATACTTTTCAGAAAACACAGAATTTGAAATAAGCTATTAAACATAAAAAAATTGTAGCTTTTTTGTTGTTGAAGGAGAAAGAAGTGCCGAGCAAGCTAGTTTTAAAATCTTAAAACCCATCACTTTTCTAACAGAAAAGGGTTAGTGTAAGTGTAAGCTGCTTGCAGTAAATATATACACACATATAGTCCATAAATGATTTAAATTGAAATGAAATATTTAAAGACTTTGTAAACATAATTATAGAAGTTTTTCATTGAACTACAAATTACTTTTTCAATATCTATTTTATTTAAACTCTTTACTTCCTATCAGAACAAGAAAGAACACTAAAATTCAAGAAAAGTTTAATAAACGAAATTTGTATTTCGTGTCTTAAAAAGTGTAATTATCTTCTGTGTTTAACAGAGTCAGCCAGCAAACTTTTAGAAAGACAAAAATGGAAAAGGAAGTGAGTTACAAAGAGTTTTACGCATTACCATCTCTGTCTGCTTCCCATCATTTACTAAGTAAAAATACATCTTATTTGAATGTAGATAGTAAGGAGACATTATGTCCTGCTGTGACTGCACTCTGTCTTGCCCAGAGGCTTGTTACAGGTAGCCTCACCATGTAATAAGTATTAATTATTTCTTAATTTTCTTTTTGTATTTCAGGTTTAGAGAAATAGTAGTGCTAAAGTATAATGGTATCAACAAACATCTAGTTTGTCGAACTTTGAGGTTCAGTATTTTTTCTTGCCAATGTCAGTTTATGAGGCACGAATGAAGGTAGAAACATTAGAAGGTAGAAACATCTCTCATTTGGTTATGTTGCATCCTTGTATCTTCCAATACAGTTCAGTTAACCTCTTCCCATCTCTTTGTTCTGACCTCCACTAGACAGACCTCCTGTAAGAGCTAATTTTTTCAAGCATCTTTTAAAGATGTCACTGTCAGGGAAAAACAGAAGTTTTGGGTGAAATAGGGTAGAGATAAACTGGTGCACTTCTGTTAGAAAGTCTGGAGTTCATTATTAATCAATGTTGTCTGAAAAGCAAACCTCCAAATTTACTTTGAAGTCCTAACAACCGAAACACAGGACTCCTGCAAACCCATGAACAAAAACAGTAAGTGCTGAAATTCTGGACAAACATCGCAAACACGGCTTTTACTTACCTTGTTTTGAGCTTATCTGGAATCAGAAATAGGGTTATAATTTAGCTACACTATTTCAGCTGTTGTATATTTTATACTACCATTTCTTCAAAATGTAAGTTTTTAATATCCTTCTCTAAGATGGAAGGATATCCATTGGTCTTTTTAGCCATCAGCGCGCTTACAGCAAATGTGGGTAAAGCCCTTCCCATACCTTCATTCGCGAAGCCTAGCCATGAAGTTTTTAATAAAGCCATAGCTGTCTGCAACTGCAGAGACTACAGACTACAATTGACAGCTGCAACATCAAACATACAGAACTCTGATAATGAAGTACACGTATAGGAATACTTCTGCTCATAAATCCACAGTACCTATTATATAACACTTTGCCAAAAGAACTTCTTATGGTTTAAATAATTTTTAGTTAATTTTTTTTTAGTTAATTTAAAGTTATACAGTGGTTAGACGCCTCCCCACACCTCTCAGTACACACAAATATAACTGCACACAGCCCAACACTTTAGCCTTACCAGTGCTGTCATCATAAACAACAGTGACTGTTTTCCACTTGAAGAACTGCACAAGGTCAAGGATGGCACGGCTGAGTGAAGAAAAATCTGGATAGAGGCTGACATAGAAAGAGTCCTTGTTGTCTGACACTTGATGTTTCCAGCGGGTCTGGATATGTGGCACACCCAGCGCATTGCAGATGGACTGCACCGCATTAGCCGAGGAGCTGTGGGACGGTCCGAAGATGGCAGCCACCCCAAGGGACAGCTGATCACACGCTGAAGAGGAGACAGAAGTCTGTCAATGACGAGAGGAAAGGAGGCAGTGTGCCAAAGGTATTGCACAATTCACACTAATTAATAGGCACTCCAAGAAGTACAACTTTACTGCTGAGAGATCTTCTTTCCTGTTCAAGTTTAACACTTTAATTTACAGAGATTTCAACTTAAAAATAAATTTCTCAGCTTTTGCTGTTAGCTGATGAGTAGCAACCCTTAACAACTAAATAGTGCTCAGCTAGAAACTCCATTGTCAATGGAAGTCAAAGGCCAGTAGTTATGCATGTTTTAAAAAACACTGACAAGATCCGAGATTTATGTTTTGCTGTGTCTTACATTTATTGAAGGGCCATATGGGATAATATTTCTAGCTACGTTTTTTACGCATTACCTTCTTCCCCAATCCACAAGCACTATCTCTACCGAAAACCTAATTACTCAGAAATTCTGCATGTTAAGTGGATTTAATTCTAGACAAGTATCCAGCAGATGATAATTTAATTGAAATGAACATTTGAATTTCTGTATCTGAAGAGCAATGCAAAGACTCAGAGCATGTAGAGGCCAAGATTTTCCCTAAAAGAAAATGAAATCACTATCTGACAATGAACAAACTCAGTGTGAACTGTTGAACACCAGAAATATACTCTGTTTTGTTGCACCTATACTAATACAAAACTGGCCCTGAGAGTCACTGACATGATGCTGCTGCATGCAAAAGGAGAAGCATTCCTCTTTCCTGTACAGGCTGTTAAAAATAAGCTCTAGTCTGTATCATCTCTCACAGTAAGATTGGGCACTGCCTGGGAGAATATTAGTTGGCAGATGCCAAAAATAGACAGGAAAATTAGGCAGCAAAGATGATGGCAGGCCAGGGTTTCAGCCCATTAGCTGCTCCTGTTTAGATCACCACTATAGATAGTAGCCTTTGAAAATATGCAGTTCTGAAACATTACAGGTTGTCTTTCAGGATAGCATATAACTTGTTAAAGAGACGTTATAGAAGGTGTCTGTGTAATCCAATCTGAATGTGTGTATTAATATGAGATTTGATTAACTAATATTGTTATAAGACCATCTATATCCCTCACTGCTGAGAAAGCAAGCAGTAGAAACATATTGTGCTGCATTACTTTTCTCAGCAAGCCAAAAATAACTATTTTATTGTTCATATCAACCTTTTACAACATGCTATGCCTTTCAAGTGCATTATGGAAACTATGCTGGTGCACTCTTTTTTTCCATGCATAACTCAAGGATTTAAATTAACTTCTTAATCCTGTATAGGATAGCCTAAGTGACTAGTCTGATGAAGAAGAAAAAAAAAAAAAAAAAAAAAAAAAAAAGCTAATATTGCCCTTCCTAAGAGTAATCAACAAGCTTTATGCAAATGTCAGTAAGTGGGATCACTAACAACAGCGATAGCTACCAGATGGCTTTTCAATGGGCTTTCTTTTCCATTTCCGAGATTTGAATAATGCAGTGCTTCCACATGTGATTTAATATGGCACTGCTCTATAAGAAGCAACCCAAATTTTCTAATACATTGAAGGATATTTTGTTTGCATTTACATTATTCCTTACTGAAACAGTAACATGGGAATATTATTGCCTTGGCTTCAGGTTGCTCTTTGGGACTACACCTTTGAAAATGCATTAATAAAGGGGATTATCCATTTCATCTGTATTCAACCTCAAACTTATGTGTTACTAGGAGGTCTAAACGGACTATTTCTTATGCAGTGCCTACCTGCTTACTGATGGACATAATCATGAACAACAAATGAGTTAAATGCTTAAACCTCATTGTTAAAATCCTGCTTTAGAGACATTTGGAACCACCATAATAAATTAAAACATTTTATGCTAAACTTTAGCCTTTGATTCCTAACGAAAGCACCTATCAGCACAAATATAGTTGACCATATTGTGAATTGATGAAGCAAAAACCTATTAGCACTGGTAGATTACACAGATTTTGATATAGCCCAGTTAGTCACAACTAAGACCACATTCTCATCCCAGAATGCAAATGAGAATAGTAAATATATTCAATCTATTGTTATTCATATGTCATCATACTAACTTCTGCTATTCCATTCTGACAGGGATTAGCAACATAACAATAGTAGGGCTAGCTTCCATCTTCAGGCAAACCTGAAGGCTGCCTGTGTTGTCTCAGGAAAAGCTTGATGAATTGGAGGTTACAGAACAAATTTCTCCATTCCTTATTGTTTCTTGGGGAATAGAAAGAAACAGTCTTCCATTGCAGTGCTTTTCAAAGAGGGGCTGCTACCCTTTGTCCCATTAAATTTCACAGAAGACTAGGTGCTGGACATAAGAATAATTTGAATTTGGAAGATTGGGAGGAAAGGCGAAAGAAGGGATCATAATAATAACTCAGAAATACTGTGTTAAAATGGATATTTGCCTCTCTCTCCTCCTCTTTCTCACACTCTCCTCTACAAAGAAACCATTGTTATTCATAAAAATGTGTTACTCATCAAAAAAAACTAGCCCATTATATTTTTCATAAATCAAAGCATCTTACCATGATAAAATGTATATACTTTTAAAAATAAAACAGATACTAATTTCAGGCCTAACACAAACATACTTATGTTAAAATGATTTCTTCAGCAAATAAACATGAGTTTAGCAAGACTTGTTACAACATGAAGGGTTAAAGGTAAATCCTTACCACTTCTAAATTGAAGTTTTAATCAGCATTATGCACCACTTGTATGAAGTACTTCATGTACTCCTGACATGTATCCTTACTCAAGAGCTTTTCCTTAGCTAGCATTTATAATTTCACATCAAATGTTTTTATTCATCTTAGTCCACTGGAGAATCCAAAATTTTACGGGGTATACTGCTTTCAGTTTTGAATACCTGGGATTAATTTGTTAGGACCAGACCACATAGCAACATTTAAACATTTAAACTCTTACTCTTGTAAGAGATTCTAAAACATTCATTTCAATTCCCGTTACGAGATACTTGCTGTTCAGGAAAAGCCTACTCCACTAACTATTTCCATATAGTTACTCTATGGAAAAGTCAGTCACTGAGGCACTGCAGGCAGACACTACACCCCAAGTAAAACACATACCACTTACACCTGTACACATACGATGGCAGGTTCTGCTACATCAGTACAATTCTAAAATGAGCCAGTCTGAATTGGTCCGTATCGACATATAGTCACAGCCACACCAGAAAATGCTCAGTGCTGTGAGCTAAATTCACAGCCTCTACCAAAATTTCTAGAAGTTGGAGTCATCTAGCATTTTCTTGGGCAGAGTATGGAGATAATTTTTTCCTATTCCAAAGGACCTAGTCTTTGAAACACTCTAATCACAAAGCTGATAAAAAATTGATTTCAGATTTGTAAATGTTCAGACAAAGAAACAGTTTTTGAACAAGGGCAGTAAAAGCCAAGATGACATAATGCAATTTTCATACAGTTACTATTAGATCCTTCAAAGAGTAGTCTTTAAAACACAATTTTGATGTCCGCCATGAAAGCAACAACCTTGATTGTTTCACGTGGCTTTTCGGACAGACCTTTTTTCAGGTAGGTGAACAAATCAAATCTTAGCCAATCATACAAACTTTAAATTTGTAAGAGGTTACCTTTTTTGGATGCTTCAAAGCTATCATACAGATTTATCTTTTGGGTGTCATATGTTAACGTGGTGTTTGGCAGGAGAGTTCTGTTTCTGTTGATTGTGTTCACAGCAAACCGGAAAGCTAATTCTTCTGCTCCCATTGGGCCTGATTCCACACACTCAAAAATGCCTCCTGGTAATGAGGGAGAGAGAGGCAAACAAAAGAAAGCAAAAAAGAAAAAGAAAGCAAAAAAAAAAAGAAAAAAGAAAAAAAGAAGCAAAAGAGAACAGTAAGCCATTACAGTAAGCCAATAAACATTTCTATTTATCAGTTCAAGATCATCCTGAAATTTTTAACTTAATAGACCTGACGCAGTGTAGCTACTCTCAGACAACTCATGATTTAGGTTAGATTTGGGTCAAATCCTAACTGACAAAAACTCAGAATGTCTTAAAAACTCACCTTGTAAAAAACCTGTAATGTTTTCCATACAGCATTTTACTGACATGAGTAGAAAGTGGCCATAGAAAATAAACACATTATTTAGAAGCAAAATGGGAGAAAGACAAGGAACACAATTATTTAATATTATTAAACTTGAGATTACCACTAAAAGATCAATCATGACCTGTGGATGGTGGAGGATAGGATTACTAGAGTCTTCTGCTCTGTGTAAGACTCCCTTAAACCACAGTGAACTGGAGAGTTCATTGCAAATGAAACACATGAAGGGGTAGGGCACAGAGATTCTCCAAACAAGCTCATGAAGTGAAGATATATAGACATTTTAGTCTGATGTATGAGCTAAGAAACAAGTTGAGTAAGGGGCAAAAAATCTGATTCAGCTGTACTGAGCCTTACGCATATGGGACCCCATTTTCAGCAAATACAGAAACCTCAGCAAATACAGTCTGCTTTAAGTTCCACTGTACAGCACAACATCCTCCAAACAAGGAGTATAGCTGGCGTAGGAAGTGCCTTAAACAAGAGACATATTCTAGGATGGTTCTGAGCCAGCCTTTATCTTATGGGAAACAAATAGGACATTGTCAAACAGTGCAGTACAACAGCTAATCTTATTTCTTTAGTCAGATATCATTGTCCATGAAATGAAAATTAGTACATACTCTGGGGTAATATAATTTATTCTTGCATCTGGATAGGTCAAGGATACAATGACTGTAAAAGTAGTTTAAAGGTCTTTACTATGGTGACATAGAATGTATCAAAACAAACAAACAAACAGTATTTGTAGGATATCTATCACCAGCTAATATTGTACAGGCACATGTGTACGGCCACCCTACCAAGATCATTAATTACAAGATCGTTATTACAAAGCATTAAAGGAACATTTCCCGTTTACTTTGCCTTAGCTCGTGGCTATTCATGTGTAAAGTAATGTTGCTACTTTTCTTTGTATTTTCTAAAAATTTCTTATCCAACACTCACTGCTTTCTCAGCAGGAAGCTCT